GGCCCGCCTGACCGCGTTCTGAGCCGGTTGTTCCGTCACCGCTTCTCATCCAGGAAGGCGTGAAAACGGAGAATGATCACATCAACCTGAAGGTGGCGGGGCAGGACGGCTCCGTCGTGCAGTTCAAAATCAAGCGGCACACCCCGCTGAGCAAGCTGATGAAGGCGTACTGCGAGCGGCAGGGGGGGACGGGGGGGGGCCCCGCCCCCCCCCCCCCCCCTGCGGGGTGAAGATCTGGGCCTGGGGGCGGTGGGAGCTTTGCTGCTTGTCTGTCAGGAACGTGGGGAATACCAGTGCATAGGAGTGAATGTATCCGGTGTGCAAGGGAGCAAGGACTTGGGATGCTTCAGCGTTAAAGTTTTTCTCTTTGCTTAATGAAAACTGACTCTTTCTTTAAAAACGTCCTGTGGCAGCAGTACTAGCCAGTGAGTTCTGATCCTGGCTCTGAAACCAATTCTCTGATTTTTCAGCCTTATAACCCTCGGTTCTGTCATCTCCCCAAACCTGATCAACTTTATATAGAGTGTGTTTTCTGTTTGCGAAATGGGACAAACCAGATTCTTCTATGCCACAAACCCTGTTGTGGTTTTGTTTTCTTCTCCCTTCATATGTCTGTCCTGTTACCCACTGCAGTTTGGACTCCTGTATTCTGCAGGTGGAGGCTGTTCCTCTGTGCAGCCCAGAGCTATTAAATGGGAAAGGGGTTTATCCCTGCAGCCCAGTTGCTGATCCTGTAGCACTCAATGCAGACTGGAAGCAGTGGTGCAGAGCAGAGGGTGGGGATGCAGATGCCTTTGGAAGCAGAGTGTGGTTCTGTTTTCTGCACTTCCCCATGTCCGTTACTTGCACGATCCTTTCTTTGCTTACTTGAACCTTATGCTCTTCCATGTTCCATGCCTGATGTAGGATAACACCTCTTGGTTGGGAATGGGAACCTGTCCTGAGTTCAGCTGTAACAGTTGTTTTTCTCCTTCTTGGTAGCTGGTGCAGTGCTGTGTTTTCAACTTTAGTCTGGGAACCGGCTGATAACACGCGGATGTTTTTAGTTCTTGCTAAGTAATGCTTACCCTGGTCAAGGACTTCCCAGTCTCACATGCTCTGCCAGTGAGGAGGGACACGGGAAGCCAGGAGGGACCAGAGACAGGATACCTGACCCAAACTGGCCAGAGGGGTATTCCATACCACAGCACGTCATGCCCAGTATATGAACTGGGGGGAGTCACCAGGAAGGCCCAGATCGCTGCTCGGGTCATGCTGGGTATCGATCAGCGGGTGGTGAGCAGTTGCATTGTGCATCACTCGTGTTTATTGTTTTTTTTTTCTTTTTTCCTTTTTGTTTTTTATTCTCTTCCCTTGTTATTTCCCTTATCATTCCGAGTTACTGGCTGGGCTTAAACCACGACAGAACCGAATACATGGGGTCTTTAGAGAAGCATGGGGAGTGCTTATGTTCGCATGGCTGTGTGTATGATTGGAAGTGTGAGTTGCAGGGATTTCAAAGGATTTTAGAGGGCAAAGCTAAGACCTGGATCCCTGAGGCAGGGAATAAAGAGTGCCTCTTGTGATTAAAAGCTTTCAGAACAGTCATGAATTCAACCTGTGTTTTGAGGGCAACTTTAACTTACTAGTGTTAGACCCCAGTGTTTTTCTGATAAACCTTGTGAGGAAAAATCTTTCAGGTCCTGCAAGTTCTTTTTCTCCAGGCCTTCTTCATGGTTCCTTTTCTCATAAGAAGATAAAGAACTAGAACTGGGAGCAGATGTTTGGCACGAGTGAAAACTTGTCTTAACTATGGGTAGTTGGTGCTGGTAGCTAGTTACCCAAAAATGTCATTTTTTTTTCAGATTGTTTTGAATTGTTTTCCTTGAGTCAACTTAATCTAATGTTACCTCTCTGCACGAGAAACAATTGTTGCTCCTTCTGGCCTATCTTCTGAGGCTTTACACAATGGTGTATGGATTGACCTGTTCCTAAATTACCTTTGTAAATTAACTTGTGCTCTTTGTGCCTTGCAGAGCAGGATCAGGACCAAGTGTCAAACCCACACCTGTGGTTCCATACAGAGTCCTTGCTGTGACGGCAGCACAGCGGGAGGTCACTCTAACAGCTCTGCTTCCTCAATTTCCTTAGCAAGATAGATGCACTGTTTCCCCTCAGTCAAATCTTTTGAGTCTTAATTTTGTTAAGATTTGTTCTGACAGTAAATCTATACGTGTTTTGTTTGGATTCATATTAATTATTTTGAACTTGCAGGGCTTGTCGATGAGGCAGATTAGATTCAGATTTGATGGACAGCCAATTAATGAAGCAGACACACCTGCACAGGTATGAAAAATGCTTTTACTGCAAACTGCTATCCAAATATTTTGATATCTGCATGCAGATCAAAATTGCACCTCAAATGCTCTGTTATTGGTACTGGTTGGGAGTAGAGAGCTAAGTGCTTTTGTAACCACGTGTATTCAAAGCCTTGCATTTTCCATGTTACTCTAACAGCTGGAGATGGAAGATGAAGACACTATTGATGTGTTCCAGCAGCAGACAGGTGGAGTGTGTTAAGACATGCCGTCCCTTTGAGAAGAGGAGTTCAAGGATCCTCATCACACCCCACTCTCTCATCTGTCCTTGGATTTGCTATTAAATAGTAAACAAATGAACATGCCAATCACACAAGATTCTTCGAAACTTTAGAGGACATTTACCAAAATTGCTTGTTGTCTTTGACGTACTGCGTGTGCAAGTCAAAACAGTATCTGCAGGGATTAATCTATACCTTCAATTGGGCCAATTTGATTTAAGTTCAGATTAAGGAGTATGCATTGTCTGTCTGCTGTTACCTTTTTTGTTATTTCCTTCTTTTTTTTTTTCTTTAAACCTGTGGCCTAAATATTCATCCATGTGTTAGGACATGGAGTGTTCATTCCTGGCTCTTGTCGGCTTTGCCCCTCTCTTTAGTTCTAACCATGTAAATAATTCAGTATATTTTCATGCCGCTGGTGAGCGGAAAAGTTTCCCTTCAAGATATGCTGAAGAGAAGGAAAAGAGATGCTGGTTTTAAGTTTTTTTTAGTGTGTGTTGCAAAGACAGTTCCTTGAGAAGCGTTAAGCCTGTGACGTAAGGCTGGTACATGCAGATACGATGCCTAGTGTAGAGTTGGAGTTTAAAACACTGCAGATGTACATGTGCTTTGTCATATTATGATAAAGTCATCTGAAATACACTTTTTTTAATGCAGGAAGGAGATTTGTCCTGAATTATTGTCAGAACCGGAGTTAGCAGAGCAGCTGGGACAAAAAACTAATGCTCGTGATAGAGCAGCAGTACTTTTTGTTGTGCAAGCTTATAAAAACAAGAAATCCATCACTGCAGTGTCAGTGGTTTGCTGAGTGCGGGGCAGAATCTCTTGCCTCCTGCTCCCCTCAGCATGTGTCTTTTTTCTCAGTGGGTACTAGAAGCGTGTGGCCTCAGGTTTCTTTGTAATACTTGTTTTTGGTAGATCAATTTGATAAATGGTGGGGGGAAAGCATCTTTCAGTGTCACCAGGCTGTATGTGCAGAAGAGCTGTCAAGAACCTGGTGAGCAAGAAAAGAGAGAAATGTGTGTACGTGTGTTCAAAATAACCATCTGTTCTACTGCCTCCCCAAACTTCCTGAATTTTAAATGCGTTTGTGTGATGGGTTTGAGCAGTGTGTGGAGCCAGTTCCAGATGAGTTTTTGCAAAGGCCATGTTACAGGTTGTCTGCTGCTGCTCCGTGGGATTGTTACCTGCCTTTTATATCCACCTGACCCATTTGGCCATGTTGGATCATCTCCCGCTTGCTGGGAATCTTGCTGGAAAGGCCCTTATTTTCTTTTTCATTTTCTTGTATATGGGCTGGGGTGGGACATCCTGTAGACCTCATTGTTTATTCACCGATTTGTACATTTATTTGTCGTCCTTTACTATTGTATACAGTAAATATAGTTTGGTACTCTGTCTCCTGCCTTACCCTTCATACGGCCGTGCTCCTCTCATTTGGCTGCTCCTTTCCCTTCTTGGGGGGCAGGGACGTGTACGTGGCAGCAGTGCTTCAGACGTCCACTTCAGGGACTCTCAAGGTAGCAGAAGTACATGGTTGGGTATAAAGCTCTGGGGTTGCTGGTGCCCCTGTCCATCAGCTGCAAACCCACCCTCTCTGGGGAACTCTGCTGCGCAATACAACTTTGGGCACTCTTTTTCTCTATGCCCGCTTCCCC